GACAGCAACTGAGAGGCGCAACGAAGAAGTAAAGCAGTGATTAACGCTGCGAAAGAGGAAAAAGATAAGGTGAATGATAGTTTAAAAAAGTGATAATATTTCAGAAGATAAGGAATAAAGAAGTGGCGAACGGTAAGCAACTCCATAAGGTAAAGAGTTGAAACGAAAAGGAATATGGGACAATAAACATAAAAGCAGAAAAAAAAAAATCATACACGAAATATAACTACAAAGATATTCACTAACAAATGAATGACAAATAAAAGCATAGATAACGAAATTAATCAGAAAACTCAAAAATCATACTAAAACTAACTGATCTAATGCTAAGAAACACACAACAATAAAAACGATAATAAATAACAAAGAAATAAAGCCTTTATCTTTTGTCAATCTTGTTTGTTAAAGAAAAAAAAAATACTGGACGGCCTTGCCAAGTAAGGAAAAATAAAAAAAGAGAGAAGTGGACACAAACACAAAGGGCTTTTTAGAAGAGGAAGAGAGAATAATAAGAACACGAAAGGAGGAATAAGCGAGCGAATAGATAACTTTTTTGAGTGAACACTGGAAGAAAGAAGGAAGTTCAGACCGTGGAAGTGAAAGTATCATTTAATCAGAAAGTATCACCAAGAAAATATAAAAGAGATAACAACAACAACAACACCAAAACAAATAGAGCAGGAGAGGAAGCCAAAAAAAGTGAACATAACGTTAAAAATAGGAAATATTTTACCCCTTCCCCCCCCGTCCCTCCCACTCCCCATCCTTTAAAATGACCTCCAACCCCTTAAACATGACACCCTTAAAGTTAACCCTTTAACATCCCCAACCTCACCCTCGAAAGAAAAAAGAAAACGAAAAAAAAAACTCTCGTATCCACAAAGAAAACGGAAGAACGAACGCCAAGATGAATCAGTCTTCGAAACTCTGCGCCATTTTCTTCATCCTTTTCGGAATAGGTGAGTATTGATGTTTTTTTCAATTAACCATTAACCATTTTTCTTGTACTGTATGGTTGCTTATGGTTGGTGTGATTTAATCTAAGACAAGGCGTATCAATGGCTAGATGGTAAATGAGTGATATTGATTAGTTTATCGAGACTATAAAGAGCTCTGATTGGTTACATGGACTAAAATGTTGTTCTACTTATTTTGTAAATTCTCCAAAGGACATGTGGTTTGTGATTTGTTAAGTACTATAGTGATTCATCTTGCTATGCTATTCAAACAGCTGTAGTCATTACTTTGATGATTGTAAATCGCTAAAAATATGCATTATCTTTGGTTCATTTTGTCCAGGGAGTAGAAATTAATGCTCTTTTCTGGCTGCTTATCGAAAACAGGAACTGACGGCTGAATGCTTATACGAAATGAAAATCTATAATTATAGACAGATTTTTCAAAATCATGAGGTGTTTACCATGTTCTCCTATTCATAACATTTTTGGAGTTGATGTATTGAACAACTTGTGTGTGTGTGTGTGTGTGTGTGTGTGTGTGTGTGTGTGTGTGTGTGTGTGTGTGTGTGTGTGTGTGTGTGCGTGTGTGTGTGTGTGTGTGTGTGATTGCTTGACTTGCGTGCGTGTGTATGAGTCTATGTAATTGGCTTTATGTGCTTACGTGTGCATGAATAATGTTTTCAGTATCGGAGCAGAAGTGACAATGTAGAGAGGAAGGTGGTGTAGGGAGAAGCAACAGAAGATAAGACAGTCAAGATAAAAGACGGAAGCAGAAAGAGAGAGAGACGCGAAGACAGAGGCAAAGAAACTGAAGTAGAGAAACAGAGAGAGAAAGAGATACCCTTTGCTTCGTCGTCAGAAATCAATCAGTGTCCCTGCCCTCCCTCCCTCCCCCCCCCTTACTCCCCTAACCCCCGCTGTATACTGACGAAGCAACGAAACTCAATACTGTTATTCAAAACCGATTTAGATCATAAACTTTGGCGGAACAGCTTAATGAACACCCAATACTTTATCTCACTGATGTTCAAACATGTTGATTAATCCTTTATTACTAATGTGAACCATCTCGCAACATGACAGAATGTGATTGCTGACATGTTATTACCACGTGGCAGAGGCATTACGTGTGTGTATGATATGACAAGAACGTGACAGAGGCCTTACGTGTGTGTAAGATAAGACAGGAGCGTGGCAGAGGAGGCGTGACAGAGGAGGCGTGACAAGGAAATGTGACAGGCTACGTTAAGTACCTTTTTGCTATGTTTTCTCCTCGGTTTTAAAAGCCTATTGACAGGATGGCTGGGGGCAGAAGAGGGGGGGGTGGAGGGTCTATTCAAACATGAAGATGAAGAAAAAATATTGTCACTTTTCGTTTTTTTCAACTTTTTTCGTCTTCCTGTGGTGGTGATGATGAAGGGGAAGATTATAGTATTAGTAATGATAACAATGATAATTACAATAATAATAATGATGATAATAATGAGAGTGTTGATAATTGTAATGCCAAGAATAATGATAATGATAATGATAACTGTGATAGTGAGAATGAACATAATATAGATGGCAATAATGATGATAATTGGGAAGATAAAAATAACAACAATTATGATGATAACAATAACAATAGTGATATAATAATGATAAAGATAATAGAAATAATGACATACAAGGATGATGATGATAAAAAATAATAATAACAATAATAATAATAAGGATAATAATAATAGTAATATTGATAATGATGATAATAATAATAGTAAGGTTGATGATGATGATGATGATGATGATGATGATAATGATAAGTAATAATGATATTGATAATAATGACAACAAATATATTTATAGAAATTATCATAATCTTAATAATCATAATTATGATAATAATGATAGTTGTGATAATGGTGCTAATAATGATGGTAATGATAATAACAATTATAATAAGGGTAATAATAATATTGATGATGATAGTGATGCTAATGATAATGATGATAATGATAAAAATAATAGTATAAACGATAATAATAATGATAATAATAATAATAATAATAATAACGAAACTAATAATGAAAATGACAACAATGATATTAATAATAATAATAACAATAATAATAATAATGGTCCTGAAAGTAATAATATTGATTATAATAATGATAACAATGATAACAATAACGATAATGATAAAAATTAAAGATATAACCAAAAATAAACAATCATATCACTACTACTAACAATAGGATGAAAACAGAATATGGGAAAAATAGAAAGAATAAAAATAAATAAACACAAAGAAAAACAATAACATTCAACAGCAACTTATACACACAAGCAAAAAGAACCTGCAGAAGAATCGTGTACATAAATAGAGTGAAATTCCGAGCCAAAATACAGAGTACACCAAGCTGTTTGAATACTTATAAGACCTTCTCTCAATCAACATCACATCAGGGAACGGGTTTCAGCGGAACAGGTCCTGCGACTGACACTGAGGGAGAGAAGGAGAGGGAGGGAGGGAGGGAGAGAAAGAGAGAGAGAGAGGATGGGAGGGAGAGAAAGAGAGGGAGGGAGGGAGAAAGAGAGAGGGGGGGAGGGAGGGAGGGAGGAGAGAGAGAGGGAGAGGGAGGAGAGAAAAGAGGGGGGTAGAGGGAGAGAAAGAGAGGGGGGGAGGGAGGGAGAGAAAGAGAGAGAGAGGATGGGAGGGAGAGAAAGAGAGGGAGGGAGGGAGGGAGAGAAAGAGAGAGAGAGGATGGGAGGGAGAGAAAGAGAGGGAGGGAGAGAAAGAGAGAGAGAGGGGGGAGAGAAACAGAGGGAGGAAGAGAGAGAGGGGGGGAGGGAGGGAGAGAAAGAGAGAGGGGGGGAGGAAGCGAGAGAAAGAGAGAGAGAGAGAGGGGGAGGGAGGGAGAATAAGAGAGTGGGGGTGAAAGAGAGAGAGGGGGGGAGAGAAAGAGAGATTGGAGATTTAAGAACGAGAGAGAGGAGAAGGGGTGACGAAGAGAGATTGAAGACTAGGGAGAGAGAGAGAAAGAGAGAGAGAGAGAGAGGATAGGAGAGGATAGAAAGAGTGAAAACTAAAGAGGGATGGAAGGCAGAGAGAATGAGAGTGAGAAGGAGAGAGAGAGATAACTGGTATATATAGAATGAAGAAGAGGGGGTTCGAGACGGAGAAACAGAAGGGATAGAAGAGAAGTACAGACAGGGAGAGAGAGAAAGAAAAACGAAAACAAAACAGAAGAGAAGAAGAGATGTGGAGGGCGGGATGGAGAGAGGGATAGAGATGAATGGAAGAAGAAGATGGCGGATAAAGGGACAGATAGAAAAGAAGCAAAGAAAGAAGAGACTGGAGAATTAAGATAAACATAACTGAAATGTAGAAGTTAAAGGAACGAGCGAAGAAAGGAGAAAGAACAGAGGGAGACCGGGCGGGAGAATATCCAACAGGTGCTCAGAAACAAACAAAGATACAGAGAAAGAAACAAAATTGAGTGAAAAGAAGGAAAGAAAAAAAAATAAAAATAAGCAAAGATTAACTTAGAAAGACAAGCAAAGCAACTCAGAAACGAATTTACCTGACATTCAAAAGAAAAACACACGCGTGCAAAGAACACACGAACACCGTTATCCAAAGCAAGTTTCCTGAGGTCGAAAGGTCTAGCTTATCCAAGAGGCTAGTTTTTAATGCGTTTTTGTAACTGAGTTCGAGCTGTGGATTCTTTCGAATGTCGTTTCTTTCCAGTATGGTGTTGTTTATTTGGTGTATGTTGGGGGGGGGCGGATTTTTCTTATTTATCTTTATATATATTTTTGTTGTAAATGTGTTTGTGTCGTCATATATTTGTATGTTATTGTGCGTGAGTGTGTATGTGCGTGAGTGTGTGTGTGTGTGTGTGTGTGTGTGTGTGTGTGTGTGTGTGTGTGTGTGTGTGTGTGTGTGTGTGTGTGTGTGTGTGTTTGTGTGTGAGAGACTGTGCGTGAGTGAACATGCACCTACATATATTATAAGTGCACTTAGACCGGTAGATAATGAAACATAAGATTAGACACAGCGATAGACAAAAAACTAGACAAATTCCTTGAAATAATAATAACAAAATCAAACAAAAACAGAAAAGAAAAGAGAGAGAGAGAGAGAGAGAGAGAGAGAGAGAGAGAGAGAGAGAGAGAGAGAGAAAATCATGAACAGGTGAAAACCAATAACCACAAAATAAGACAAATTACATTTTTGAGCAACATTACTCACAAAAAAAGAGTAAATATTTGCTTTACACGTGAACGACCTCAAAAGCTGTTTTGCTTACTGATATTTGATTGCAATTAACTATGATTTTTTCCGTAACCGGAGGCCAGGAAAGGGTTAGCCACAGGGAGGGAGGGAGAGAGGGAAGGGAGGGAGAGAGGGAAGGGAGGGAGAGAGGGAAGAGAGGATGGCCAAGAGGATATGGAAAAGGGAGATGAAGAGAAAATACTGATGATTGGGAGCTACATAAAAGCAAATGTGGAAATGCAAGGTTTGGTGTTATATGAGAAGAATGGAAGGTGTAAATGATAGGGAGAAATTAAGAACAATAGAGAGAAAGCGAATGAAAGAGAAAGGAAAAAAAAACAGAAGGGGGGCCTGTGTATAGATATATCAATTTAGATATGTGTGTGGATAAACGGATAAATAAATAGATAAACAGATAGATAAATAGAGAGAGAGGGGGGGGAGATAGAGGGAGATAAAAAGAGAGAGAGAGAGAGACAGACAGAGAGAGATAGAGAAAGAGAGAGAAAAAAAAAGCGAGAGAGAGAGAAAGAGAGAGAGTACGAGAGAGAGAGAGAGAGAGTGTGTGTGTGTGTGTGTAAGAGAGAGAGAGAGAGATGTGAAAGAGAGAGGGGGGAGGCAAGAAAAAGCTCCATACAAATAAAAATTAAATGAAAAATATGTACAACTGCATTACAATCACGCATACAGCGCATATACTTTTAACAATATTTCACTCCCTTCACGCATCTAAGACAAC